CGGGGGGGGGGGGGGGGGGGGAGGCACGGGCCATGAGGCACTGTGGGCTCCCGGGCCTCCCCCAGAGGAGGCTGCCTTTCCGTGGAGGGGTTCGAGGAAGGAAGGGTGGGAGGGACTGCGTTGGTAGGTGTGAGAGCAGGTGTGCAGGGCTGGGAGAGAGGGGGGCCACCTCGTACCCAGGGCAGGGGAAGCTCGGTGGCTGTCACTTTAAGAGTGTCTGGGGCTGGGCTCCGTGGCTCAGCCTGTAATCCCAGCACTTTGGGAGGCCGAGGTGAGTGGATTGCCTGAGCCTGCTGGTTTGAGACCCTTCTGGGCAACTTGGCGAGCCCTCATCTCTACAATAAATAAAAAATTAGCCAGGCGTGGCAGCGTGCACCTGTAGTTCCAGCTACTTGGAAGGCTGAGGCGGAAGGATCGCCGGAGCCCAGCAGGTCGAGGCTGCGGTGGCCGGGAGCGGCCATTGCACTTCAGTCCGAGCGACAGAGTGAGACTCCGGCTCAAAAAAACAAACAAACAAGCAAGCAAACAAAAGAAGTGCTCAAAGTGTACCATCAGCACCCAGACACTTCTGATTGTGGTGAACTAGTAATACATAGTAACAGCTCTTAAGACGTGTATAAATGAGCCAGGCTCAGTGGCTCAGCCTGTAATCCCGTGCCTTTGGGAGGCTGAGGTGAGTGGATTGCCTGAGCCTGCGGGTTCGAGACCCGCCCGGGCAACTTGGCGAGCCCTCGTCTCTACACTAAATCAAAAATTTGCTGGGCGTGGTAGCGCATGCCTGTAGTTCCAACTACTTGAAAGGCTGAGGCGGAAGGATCGCCGGAGCCCGGCAGGTCCAGGCTGCGGTGGCTGGGACCATCCAGTCTGTGCGACAGAGTGAGACTCCAACTCAAAAAAAAAAAAGAGTGTCTGGGAGGGTGGGGTGGTGTCCCCTGAGTCTGGCTCCCCCCTCCATCCTCCAGTCATCACCTGGCTTCCCTTTCTGCCCATCTCCGAGACTCAGCAACATCAGGAGCATGACCTGTCCCCTCTCCAGGGGACTCTACCATACACCCCTTTTCTCAGAAGGGGCAGGGCTGCGGCAGCCTTGGCATGGCCCAAAGGTCCTGGAAGATTGGTCCTGCATTTCTCCTGCCCACAACTTGGACTCTGTCTCTCTTGCTCTCTCCACCTAGCCCACTGGCCTCCTGTCATGTCTGGAACGCGCCACGCCCTTTCCAGCCCCAGGGCCTTTGTACATCCAGCTGGCCACATCCTGGGCACCCCTTCCCCCACATCTCAGCCCTTCTCACGCTTCAGCTCAAATGTCCCCTCTTCAGAGTCTCTCCCTGACCACCCTAATGCTCACTGACCCGGTCTGCTATGTGCTGGGTTCTTGACTGATCTGCACATGTATTGTTTGGCCTCTGGAAAGGAGGTCTCACGCGTGCAAAGGCCCCAAATGCCTCAGTCCCCACAAAATCCTCCACTTCTAGCAGAGTGGCTCTCCTATAGCAGGTGTTCGGGCTGGGCATGGTGGCTGAAGCCTATAATTCCAGCACTTTGAGAGGCTGAGGTGAGAGGATCGCCTGAACCCACGGGTTTGAGACCAGCCTGGGCAACTTGGCAAGACCTCATCTCTACAATAAATAAATAAATAAAAAATCAGGGCAACCCCCTCAGGTGTGGTGGCGTGTGCCTGTAGTTCCCGCCACTTGGAAGACTGAGGTGGAAGGTTTGCCGGAGCCCAGCAGGACGAGGCTGCAGTGGCTGGGAGTGTGCCGCTGCACTCTGGCCTAGGTGACAGAGTGAGACTCAGACTCAAAAAAAAAAGCAAGTGCTCAGTGTATGTCCCATGGCTGTAAGAAGGTTTCCCGCTGCAGGACCGGGTTCTGGGGCTCAGCATGACAAGGACCCAGCCAGAAGGCCACTGAGTTTGGGCCTCAGTTCCTCAGCTGTGTCCCTAGCAGAGAGGAAGGTATGACCACCCCAGGACTGTGAGGACAGGCCCAAGGGGAGGATGGAGGCCACCTGAGGTGGTCCAGACCGGGTATGGAGGGGCCTCCCTTCCCCCGTCACCCACAGCAACAGAGGGCACTATGGTGACAAGGTCTTGTGTTTGCTCTGTGCCTGGCCTCATGCAGAGCATGGGGATGGAGCTGGACCAGGCATGTCTCTGCTCTCAGGAAGCTCCTAGCCCCACTGGGAAGCAACCAGAACGCAAGACAGCCTCAGGGCTTCTGAAGGTCATGTGTCCCCACACAAAAGAGTCACAAACGTGCTGGAATGTGTGACAGGAGGAAGAGCAGGACCCCCTGGGGGCCGGGGGTGGAGTGACCCTGGAGAGGAGGAGCCCCTGGAGCCAGACCTAGAAGCACAGGCGGGCTCTGGAGGGCTGGAGGCCCGGTTGTGAGGTGGGCTTGCCAGGCAGGACAGCCATGAGGGGTAGGCGGGAGCACAAGGAAGGGAATATGAGGGATGGGGGCCCCTGCAGTCCTGGGGGGCAGGGAGGGGGCATGCCCGAGTCCCACCAGACTGGGTAGAGGGGGGTCCCTTTACCTGGAGGGTCAAGTGACAGCCGGGGATATGGAGCCCCTGATGATGGGGACTCCACCATACACCTTTGCTCTCTCCTCCTGGTCTTCCCTTTCCTCTTCTCTCATCTTATCTTTATTTTTTGAGTCGGAGTCTCACTCTGTTGCCCAGGCTGGAGTGCATGCAGTGGCACACTCAACGGCTCACCGCGGTCTCGACCTCCTGCTCAGGCAATCCTCCCACCTCAGCCTCCCGAGCAGCTGGGAGTATAGGTGTGTGTTACCATGCCCAGCTAATTTTTAAATATTTTGTAAAGACGAGGTCTCACTAGGTTGCCCAGGCTGGTCTCGAACTCCTGGCCTCAAGTGATCCTCCTGCTTCAGTCTCCCAAAGTGCTGGGATGACAGGCATGAGCCACCATGCCCAGCCCTCTTCCCCATCTTCATTCTCTTTCTTCCTTCTCTGGACTTGCCCATGCCCCCTCTGGGCCTCAGATTCTGAGTGGCCTCAGGGTACCCGAGCCTTGGGTGCCAAAGTCCACCCATGGGGTTGGGACTGTGGCCTCCGCGTCCCACCTAGAGGGTGGGATGGTCGGAGGGTCCCCCCAGAGCCAGAGAGTCTGGAGATCCCGGCTGCCTCTCTGCCACTGACTGGCCGACTTATCTCGGGCAGTTCCCAGCCTGTAGACCTCAGTCCCCCCATCTGTACAATGGGAGGGCCTTCTGACTGGCATCTGGGGCATGTGCGAAGAGCAGAGGGGAAACCATGGAGGTGCCCCGAGCTCAGCTGGGGCCTTAGACCCAGATTGCTGCCCCCGCCAGGCCCAGTCACCACCCTCCCTTCACCCCCCGCCACTCCTCCCTCCCCCACCGCAGGCCTTGTTCTGCCAGACCCTGATAAGAGCCTGGGCCTCCATTGCTGCCCTGTGTTTGGAAGTGCACCAAACACCTGGCCCTCCAGCCAGCTGGGGCCCGATAAGGGTGAACCAGATGTCTAGAGCCCGGGAGGAGTGCACAGCTGGCAAGAGGCTGGGGGTGACGGATGACAGGGCCAGCTCCCGGTGGTGGTGGTGGTGGTGGCGGTGGCGGTGTAGCGCCACGTTTGTGTAATCACCCCTAACTCCCAAAGAGCTGCGCTCCCAGCTCTCTCTCTTACCCCAGACCACTCTGTGAAGTGAGCAACGCTGTTAGCCCGTTGCCCCAATGAGAAAACTGAGGTTCAGAGACATTTTGCCTGCAGGCTGGCCCAGCAGGTAGGTGCCAGCGGCAGGATGAACCCCAGCTTCCTCGACTCTAACCTTGTCTTTAAGCACTGGCTGAGTTTGCCTCCCAGGAAACAACTGGTAGCTGGTTTGGCATCAGTGGTTAAGAGCATGACCTCTGCTGTCAGACTGCTGGGTTAAACCCCAGCCCTGCCATTTACCAACTGTGTGACCTTGGGTCAGTGACTCAACCTCTCTGTGCCTCAGTTTTCTCATCTGTAAAACGGGGGTGATAATGACGGCCCCCCACCTCATAGACCTGCTGGCAGCACTAAGGAAGTTCATAGATGCAAGGCTCTTGGAACGGTGCTCTTCACCCAGAGAGCACAGCATCAATGGCTGCTGCCCTGACCCTGCCGCTGGGGTCAAGGTCACACTTGCTCTCCTCAGCCCCTCTAATCTGCCTTCCGTTCCCATGGAATCAGCCTGAGCTGCATGTTTCGGGGTCCTCGGATGGTTGGAGACTCCATGTTTCCCTCTAAATCCTCCCCAGGCTGGGAATGGTGCCAGGTCCCCCAGGAGACCTCTGGAATTGTCCTGAATGGGAAGCAGTGTCAGCTGACATCTTGCCTCCTGTACAGGAGATGGGGTGCCCTGGGGACCCCTTTTGCGAAGGAAGGAGGCGTGTCTGGGGTGGGTGAGACCTGGGTCTGTAGGATGGGAGAGGAGATTGATGTGCCCCCATGCCACACACACAAGCCATACACACCATTGCTGCCGTGAGCCACCTGTCACCATGCTCTCCCCAGCAGCAGGTGCCGATGAGCCTGTGCCTTGAGGGGCAACTCATAGGTCACATTCTCACCCCACCCACCCGCATCCCTGTAGAGGTCAGGAGCTGTGCCCATCTGGGCAGGGATTCAGGCTGGGCACCTGGAGAAGCCCCCACGGCAGGTGCTGTGGGACCCCCCCAGCCCCTCCCTGCCCTGCCCACCTGCTCACGAGCCTTGGGATCCCTCGGCGAAGTCCTGCAGCCGCCGTGCCCTCTGTGACCAGCTGAGTTCACACCCGTTCTGACAGCACCGGCGCCCGGGGGCAGCTCACAAACCCCTGACTCATGCCCCCGCCTCCTAATCTGCCCGCCCCACGGGCCCTGGGAGCCCCTTTCTAGCCCCTGCCCAGCTCCCACCAGGTGCCCTGTAAACAGAGTTATCTCCCTCCCACATCTGGACAGCTGTGTGCCTGGCCCACCCCACCCCAGCCTGGCCAGCCCCCGAGGCCTCTGGAGGCCCTCCCTGGCCCTGAGATGCTCCCGGGTCTTCCTTGGTGGACGAGGTTTTGATGGCTGGTTCTCGGGGCTCCAGCGCCCTGCAGGAGGGCTCTAGATGTTTGTGTCCTGCCTGTCCATCCTCCGTTCTGGCCAGGCCCTTCCTCCATGATCCCAGGGTGCAAGAGTGCCTCCTCTCTTGTGGCCGTCGTTGGGGCTGCTCTTTCTCTCCACAGTGATCTGCTCAGTGCTCACAGGCCCCCCTCCCCTTTTTGCCTCAGACTAGGACACCCTGGCCACCCTCTCCCCAAGACCCTGGCTGGCTCCAAAGGGTCAGCCCCTCGGCACCTAGGCACTGACACTCAGCCAACCTCAAACAATGTCAGGTCAACGAAACAACCGTCCCCACACCAAGCTCCTGAGCTCACAAAGCCCCAATGTCTGGGCACACTGGCTGCTCTGTGGAGCCCGGCCCAGGCCCCGGGCCAGAGCAGCCCGCATT